CATGAACACCACTGTTGGAGTGCTCACGTTAGGAATTTTGACTGTGGCTGGAATTGGAGTTCTTTGGGAAAAGCTCATCTATCAGGTAAGAAAGATAGGCAGAAGGGTGGTGGCCTTGCTTTTGTTTGGGGTTCATTCACATAGGCCATCCAGATGCTCTCAGCAGCACATTATTATCTCAAGGCTAGTCCTTGGGGCAAGCTGGAGCCCATTCCAGGGACAGGGGGAGAAGCCCCACATGGACCCAGGTCAAAGGTCAATCAATAGTCATGTCCTTTCAATGACTTTCTTCAGCACTTCACCCCTCATGACTGAATCTCACATGCTCCCCACTTCTAAAGCAGTGTGCCCTGATGATCAGTGTGGGGATTTACTAGCACAAAGGTGGCTTATTTGACAGAAGGTGCCTCAGGAGCAGTGCAGGCCACCGAGACCCAGCTAGAGGCCGAAGACCAAGTTAGAAAGTTGGAAGAAATAAAGTTAAAGAAAGAGGTGAGAGGGCCTCTCTGATAGCACAAGGGGTTAAGCACAGCACTGTGAAGTTATCCACAGCCTCTGTAGCATGAGATCGATCCCCGGCTGGCCAGGGATCTACCCACATGGCGCAGCAGGTATTTCAGTCAATCTGCCCGTTCTGCTTCCCACTCTGTTTCTGGTGAATCCTCTCACCCCTCGCACCTCTGGCCCGCACCCCAGCTCTTGTATGCATAAATAAATAAATCTAAAAAAAAAAAAAAAGGAGGCGAGATTATCCACTATTACAGAGGCATCTCCTTGTAAGGCGGAGGTATCATGTTCCCCACCCCACTTATATGTAGCCCCCTTGGGGCAAGCTATTGGGAACTAGGGGAGAGTTGAGAAGTTTATTGAAGCTGTTTAACTTGGAAGTCAGGTGGACTCAGGGAAAAAAGAAGAGCTGGGGCCTGACTTGTACCTGGGTACTGCTGGGAAGGAGGTAAAGAAGGAGACACATGGAGGAGAGAAGCATAGAGATATTGGAGAGAAATATGTGGGTGAGAGACAAGGGGGGGTGGGGGGGAGCAGACAATGGCAGCTGTTATCTTGATGTGGTGTCTCATTTAGTCCCAGCTTTCCGGGACCTGCTTCAGAACCCTCTCTGTGGTTCCCCCGAAGCTGCCTTAGTCTTGTGGCAAGATTTCAGGTCTCAGCTGCCCCACTTAAGACCAACCATGTTTGGCTGAATAATTAGGGGTGTTTTAATGGGGCATTAATATCCTTTCTTCTCTCTCTCTGCACAGAAATAGCATGCATAAGCTGTGTGTGTGTGTGTGTGTGTGTGTGTGTGTGTGTGTGTTCATGTATTTTTTTCTGTTCCTAGATCCCACTCCTATTCCAACTTGCAGATTACCTTTCTCATGAGTTAAATACGTATTTTGGGTTGTCTGTGTATGTTTTTAATTAAAAGGATCTTGCGGACTTGTCTACACTGTGTCACCTCTCCACCCTTTTGGTTAAGGATACCGCATCTGCTTGCACTTCTGATCACTCACAGACATGTCCTTGATGGGATATATTTGAGAAATTTTTTTAAAAAGCATGCCCAGGAATGGAGTTAGAGTCCCAGGCTGCATTCCCATCAGCAGCAATTGGGAATCCCTGAGTCCTTGTGTCCCTGCAGACACTGGGCAGTGTTAACTCTCTAGTATGTTAGTGTTCTGGGATGCAAACCAACATATCACTTTGCATTACCTTTATTTCCAAGTACTTTGGGTTTTCAGTAGATAAAATTCTTATTCATTTTTTTCAATCATTTTTGGTTTGGAGTTTCCATCTTTTTGATTAACAGGTGTTCCTTGTATATGCAAATGAATAATCTTTTTGTGTGCTTCAGATATTGCATATAATTTTCCACAATCTGTCAGCTACATACTAACTTTATCCATGACATCCTTCATTGAACAGGAGTCCTTAATGTTGATATGAGCACTTTTATCAGTCTAGATCAATGGAATAGAGTCACAAGTTCAGAAATAAATTGACATCTAGTGAGAGTGCCAAATAACTCACTAAAGAAAGAAGAGTCTTTCTTTAGACCGGAACAACTGAATGGCTATGTTGTGAGATAATGGAACAAAAGACTCACCTATCTCCCATGTGCCCTGTGTCAAAGCCATATATGCAAGAACTAAAATGATAAACTCTTAGGAAAAAAAAAATAGGTGTAAATCTTTATGATCTTGGATTTGGCAATGCCCACTTATGTAAGAGTATAAATCGCCATAGAAAGGGACATTTCTGTGTTCTGTGACCCAAGGAAGGGTAGAGAGGAGGTGCAGGGGGAAGCCAGAAAGGACTTGGGAGAGAAAACTTGGAGAAGAGACTTGGAGGAGGCACGCGGAGCAGAGAGACAGGTGCAGAAGTCTCATTTCCTTCTCAACCTTGGACTCGGAGGACATGGAAGGAGATACATGGAGTCAAGACATGTGGAGTAGACACACTTGAAAGAGAAGTGGGTGAGAGACAAGTGAGGAGGCTGACAGTGGCAACTGTTACCTTGATTTACACTTTGATTTTGCTTCTTCCTTCCATAGTTGTCTGGCACCTTCTACCCCTTTCCTACGGTTTCCCACCATGAGGTGTGCTAGACTTGTAGCAAATTTTCAGGCCTTAGTAGCCCTGCTTTGGGTCAACACTGTTTGACTGGACATTTACCCACAAGGGGATGGGTAACTTTGGGTGTTTCATTGGGAAACTATTACCCATTTCTTTCTCCTCTCTCTAGCACTCGATAATAGGGTTAATATCATTTAATCCTATTAAAGTTCTTCCACAGTAAGAGAATGCTTTGTTTTTATAGGATGTATGACAGAACCCATTTAGACCCTGCAAGTTTGTGGGTCCTGGGGTGCCCCTCAGTCCACCCATGAACACTTAGATATGACACAAAAATAAAATAACTATAGAAAAATAGATAAATTGGACTTTATCAGAACTGACAATATCTGTGCCTCAACGCACAACATCAAGGAAATAAAAAGATAAAATTGAATTGGACAGAATATCTCCAAATCATAGATCTACTATGAAACTTATATTCAGAATATATAAAAGATACTTACAAGTCAATATTAAAAAGCAAATAACCCCAATTTTTAAATGGGGGAAGGATATGAATAGACATTTCTCCAAAGAAGGTTTATAGATGGTCAACCAGGAGTTTAAAAGATGTTTGACATTATTAGTTCTCAGGGAAATGTAAGTCCAAACCACAAAGCAGGTACTGCTTCACACTAGGAGCCTTCACTAAGATGGCTAGATTACAAAGATGGTCAGTTAGAAGTACTGGCAAAGATGTAGCAAAACTGGAATTGTCAAACATTGCTGCTGAGAGGATAAAATTGTGCAGCCACATTGGAAAACACTGTGACAGTTCCTTAAAAGATGAAACATAGTTACCATGTGACAGAGGACTTCCACTCCTAAATCTAATTTAAACCCAAGGGAAATGAAAACATAAAATGTAAAAAACATGCACATGAATGTTCAGAGTAGCATTGTTCCTAAGAGCCCCAAAGCAGAAGCAATCCAAATGTCCACCAACTGACTGGATGGATAAATAAAATACAATGTAGTATATGCCTATGACAGAATTTTATTTATCTACAAAAAAGATGATGAAAACATTATGAAAGAAACCAGTCACAAAAGACCACATATTACATGATTCCATGTATATGAAATGTTCAGTATGGGCACTCTACAAAGACAGAAAGTAGATTAAAAATTGGCTAGGATTAGGCGGGATTTTGAGGTGACCACTAACAGGAACGGGTTTCTTTGTGGAGAGGGTGAGAAATACTCTAAAATAGTGGTGGTTGCACACCTTTGTGACCACCAAATTTTATATTTTAAATGAATTAATTGTTTGATATGTGAATTATATCCCCATAAAGTTGTTACCAAGAAAAAAAGTACTAGTACCATCAATCCCCATGTACTCGTCACCAAAATTCTGTATTTTCTTAAACCTACTTCATATCCCCTTACAGCTAAGACCCTAATTTCCAAGTTTAATTTTTCTCTTAGATGCCTAAATATAGAATTTAAGTATTGAAAGTTTTGCATATAGGTATTGAAAGGTTTGGGTAAAATTAGATGTCAATATACTTTTGAAACCCTTAAGACAATAGTTCTCAAATTTTTGGTGGTGTTTATGTGGGGGAGAGGGGGTGCTTTCAAAATCCCAGTGACCTAGTGACATGGAAAAGCAATTAAACCTGAATATCTGGGAACAAAAGCAGGACATCTAAAGGTTTAATAATTCTCCAGGTAATTTCAATGTGCGGTAAAGTCTGTGAAAATCAATCAGTTATTAATTCATTCACTATGTAAATCGCAAAAGCTCTTTCAGTAAGACCTAATTTTGTCAATCTTACGATTTAATTAATTCTAATCAGAGACTAGGATGAATTTTAACACAAAAATCATTATATCCTAAATGGAAAAAAAAAATCTAAGTTGGACTTAAAAGTTTTGTAAATGTATAATTTACTTTTAAAAGTTCTAAATTTTTACATATCGAGTATTTAGATCAGAAAAAGGTTAGAATTACTTTACCTAATCAGAAGCATCCCTTTTAAGTTTAAAAACCAGAGAACAGGGCCTCCCTTGGTGGCGCAGCGGTTGAGCGCTGGACTGCGAAGCTGCCCGCAGCCTCTGCAGCGCCTGTTCGATCCCTGGCTGCTGGGCGAGGGTCCCACATGGTGCACAGAGACAGACCTCTCCTGCCCCGCCCGCTGCTCCCCTCAGCAGTGTACTTCATCAGTCTGCCTGCTCTGCTCCCCGCTCAGTGCTGTATAAATAAATAAATCTTAAATAAATAAATAAATAAATTAAATTAAAAACTTAAAAAAAAATAAAATAAAAACCAGACAACAGGCTGGGTCACTGAGTGGTTTCTCAAGCCAGTAGGCAGGCCTGCAGGAGAGGGAGTTCAAGTTCAGGAGATCTGATTCTTTTCGCCCATGGCCGGAAAAGGATTGCAGTGGGCAGGAGGTTTTATTTGCGAAGCCGGGAGCCATGGCAATGGCTCCGGTGACTTCTCTGGCCAATCCCGTTTCCCCGCCCTGCAGAAGCACTGGCACTAGCGGTCCGAGCCAGGGAAATGCGCCTGCGAGCTCAGCCCGCGCTGCTGCTCCTGATTCTCCTGCGGACTTTGGCCGCCCAGGGCCGATCGCCACGTGAGTCCGGGGGCCGCGGGCGGGAAGGGGGCGCGGCGGGGGAGGAAAAACCAAAACGGACTTCTTTTTATCTTCAGCATTTGGGAGTTCGCTAAGTTCCAGGCCACAGCTCAGACCTGTGCGCAGTCCCATCTCCGACTGCCCAGGAAAGGGACCCTGGCCACTGGGGTGCAAGAATGGGTTAAAGGGCCTTGAGCCCCGGGACCTTGTTGGCAATCCTGCCCCGCTGTCCCAGCTCTGCTGAGTGGCACTCACAACCACCCCTCCCCTCCCCTATGCTTTTAAATAGAAATCTTTTTTGTTTCTCAATAGTTTCTCTTTGAGGTGCAACTGGGCTTGGGGTCTTTGAACTCAGATTTCGGGTTTTGTCTTTTCTGTTGGTTGTGTCACCCCCTGCATTCCCTTCCCCCTACACCCACCATTCTCAGCCCCCTCCTCATCCTCCCCCTTTTCGGGTCAAACCCAAACAGGAAGTTCTTCTGACTAAGGGCGACGTTGGCCTCAGGGCCCCTAGGTGTTTCCGCAGGCAGCAGGGCAGCAGGAGGATTGTGAGACTTCTGGCTTACAAGAATCCACGGGGGGTTGGGGCTTCCACTTGGGGAACAGGGGTGTGTAGGGGTGGAGAGCGGAATCTGGGTTCTGCCCTACTCACTGCTTTTGGTGACACTGGGTGGAGGCCGCTGGGGATGGAAGGCTTCTGAGAGATACTGACTTTTGGCAATTGTTATTTTGCCCAGAAAAAATAACAGATCTGTTATTTTTGAACTTTTGAACTGAACGGGAATAGTTCTCTTTTTCAGCTCAGGATTGTTGACTTGTCCTGTTACTTTGCTGGGTAGAGTGAAGGGGATTTGCTAATGGTGGGTGCCAGAGTGCTAATAATCACCATTTATATGGTTACCCCAGTTTTAAATCATCTTCCCATCTGTGATCTTATCAGACTCCACTGTGTATTGGAGAGGTAGCAGATATTTTAAGTTGCTTTTACTAGAGGCTAACCAGCCCTCAAGTTCAATAACTTCCCCCAGGTAACAGACTTTAGCTAACTAGTTTTCTGCCTTGCCATACTTTCCCGTCCTTATAGTGGGTAGAAATACCAAGGTGAGGCTGGAGGTGTGGGTGTGAAAGAAATCACCAGAGACAAAGTGGAGAACAGAAGGGGTAGATTTACTGAAATACCCTGCAAGGGAGCAGGGGTCCAGATGGGAAAAGTCTTCCAGGGAAGGGGGATTTGAGGTTCTCTTTTATATTGTTTTTGTGGGTGCTCTAACTTGGGGCACCAGGTTGCACCAATTATCTGCTGAGATGTCTGGTCTCTGGCACTGGCCTGTGACACAGAAATGTGTCCTCACTCTGCTTCTGCACTTCTGGGGCTGGGCTGCTTTTTCTGGTTATGGGGTATGTATTATGGCCCAGTTCCCCTGGCATTCATATTAATTCTCTTATCTTTTCCAGCCTCCAAAACACACCTGCTGTGCAAGGAGCAGGTTTTTAACCTTATTAAATGGTACCGAACAATCCCAACAGTGAGTTTGTTATCTGAGCATCGCTCAGCGAGTTATCACTGGCCTCAGAACAACACTTTGAGGGCCGGTGTTATGTGTGTCCACATTTTGGAGATGACTTATTCTCTGGTAACTTCCCTTAATGTTAACCCAGGCTTTGGAGGTTGAGCCCAGTTCTCCCCATCATGGCTGTGATTCATAAACATCACCATTCATGCCTCAGAGGTTGAAGCATAAGATTTGATGTCGAACAGAAAAATTCATTGTTCACAGAGGTAGCAGGAATCCAAATCCTGTATAAGATTGTTCTAGGCTTAGGGGAGATAGCAGGGAGTCATGCATGCCCTCTGATTATTTTGCATTCAGATGTGGAGGGAATGCAAATGGGGGGGGACCTCAACAAATAAAAAAGTGGAACCTCAGGTGAGATCTTTGAGCTGAGACTGTAACAGGTGGTCCGCAGGAAAGGGGGAGGTTCCAGGTTCCCTGCCCCATGCAAGGGAGGGTGGAGCTGAGCAGGGAGAGGAGCTGAAGAGGAGACCAAGGAAGGCAGCAGGATGGAGCCAGGAGACCTGGAGGAGGCGCATGGAGCCTAGACACACGTGAAGAAACTGCGCTTGTCTTTTGGTCGTGGACGGGGTGACACAGATGTGGGTGAGACCCGTGGCGAGGTGTCAATGGCAGCTTTTATCTTGATTTTGATTTTGCTCTTTTCCTTCCGGGCTTGTCTGGTTGTTTCTGACCCTTCTCTGTGGGTCCCCACTGGAAGATGCTTTAGACTTGTGGCAGGCTTTGGGGCCTTGCTTTGGGCCAATCCCATTTGGATGGAGTTTTACCCATGAAGGGACGGGTAACTTTGGGTGCTTGATTTAGAAACTAGATTCTTTGCCTTTCCTGTCTTGTCCTAGTTGTATTAAAGTTCCTTCCCATTAAAGTCTCATATGTTTTGTGTTGATGCGGTGGATGGCAGAACCCATTTAGAATAGGCAGGTTTGCTGGGTTTGGGCTGCCCCTCTCCCTGCCCTGTAACAAGACCTGAAGGAACTAAGGGCCAAGAGGATGGGAACCCACTGCCCAGAGAAGGTGAGGGGGGCCTGGTAGGTTGGGTAGAAGCTGGAGTCTCATCCTAAGCACTGTGACGGTGTTTCATTGTGAGGACAGTCGAGCCTCGGGGGGGTTTAACAGCATCCCTGTCCTTCACTCACTGGGGGCTAGTAGCGCCCCCCTAGTTGTGATAACTGAAAATGCCTCAAAACACTTGCCAGATGTCCCCTAAGAGAAAACACCTTCCAACTAAGAACTGTTGGGTTGAAGGAAGAGTAGGATTTGGGGGGCCACAGGTCAAGAGTGGGTGATGGGCACTGCAAGTTCTCCTAGGGCCCCATAGGCTGCTGGTGGATTCGAGCCCCAGAGTGACCTGATCTGTCACAGCTGTGACAAAGATCACTCCAGCCTCTCTGGGGAGCAGAAGGAAGAGAGCAACTATAAAAGCAGAGAGAGAAGCCTGGATGCTGTGGCCCTGGTCCAGCCAAAGGTGATCAGCTGGGCCAGGAGGGATCATAGGTGGGGATGGGACATCCTTGGATTCCAGGTATAATTTGAAGGAGGTTTTTGAAGGATCTATGTGATAGGTGAGAGGAAGAGGTGGCTGTTATTTAATAATGTAACTATTTCATTTTTGACTTTTATGTGATTGGCGTGAATGATGGTATACCAGGCGATATCGTGTGTGAGATGGAATGGGCAGAACAAGGTGCAGTTGGGGGTGGGGAGGCCTCAAAAGCCTGATTGGGGACTAGTTAAGTTTAGGATTCCAAGCAGTGTTGTACTCAGTTTTTAACCGTATTAAAAAGCAGTGGCTGATGGTATTGTAACCAGCCAAACCAGGTTTTTCACTCACCACAAGAAATCCAAATTCTGAATCACAAGACTTATCTTTACATGAAGGAGATTTTTGCAAAATGGCCATTAAGGGAATTGGCAGCATAGGCAGTCCCAAACAACATGCTTCCTGAATGGAGGAAGTGCTGGGACCTTATAAGGGGTGAAGGAATGTGAAGGAGTCACGGTTTTACCTTTCCAAGTTCTAGGTGTTGCCAGGCAGTCTAGATGACAGGAGTCAAGGTGTTTGACTTTCCCAGCAGGGGTTGGTTGTCTCGGGAATCAGCAGGTGCTTCTTGTTCTGATGCCACTATCAACTCAGAGACACAGAGAAGATTATTAGGAATATTGTTACAGGGCAGGGAGAGGGGCAGCCCAAACCCCACAAACCTGCCTATTCTAAATGGGTTCTGCCATCCGCCACATCAACACATACATATGAGACTTTCATGGGAAGGAACTTTAATACAACTAGGAAATAAGACAGGAAAGGCAAAGAATCTAGTTTCTAAATCAAGCACCCAAAGTTACCCGTCCCCTCGTGGGTAAAACTCCATCCAAATGGGATTGGCCCAGAGCAAGGCCCCAAAGCCTGCCACAAGTCTAAAGCATCTTCCAGTGGGGACCCACAGAAAAGGGTCAGAAACAACCAGACAAACCCGGAAGGAAAAGAGCAAAATCAAAATCAAGATAAAAGCTGCCATTGACACCTCCCCACGGGTCTCACCCACATCTGTGTCACCCAGTCCACGACCACAAGGCAAGCGCAGATTCTTCACGTGTCTCTCGACTCCATGTGCCTCCTCCAGATCTCCTCCTGGCTCTCCATCCTGCTTCCTTCCTTCCTCAGTCTCCTCTGCAGCTTCTTCTCTCCCTGCTCAGCTCCACCCTCCATTTGGGTGGGGGCAGGGAACCTGGAACCTCCCCCTTTCCTGGGGACCACCCTGTTACAGTATAACACGATTTTCCAAGTTCTCAGCAATGGAGATGGAGCCAGTTAATGGTTAATCGGAAGAAGGGAATAGGAGGTTCAGTTCAGTGAGTTAGCAGTCTGAAGCAGGATTGCAAAAGGGTGGTTAGAGTTTAATCCACTTCCTAATTTTTATTCCAGGGCTGTTTTCTTTGCAAAAAGCAGGAGATCCAGCTACAGTACCCTGCAGTCAATTGAATTCAGAGCCAGAGATAAAAATTTAGTTGTCATCCTTTGTCAGCCAACAAGTTTGCATTAAACACTTTTTGCTTGAGTGTTGTAGGCACTGGGGGTGCATGCTATTTTTGAGGGAAGATGTAGGGAAACACTCACTTGCCTTTTTGGTTTACTGGGTTTCCTCCTATATTTGCTCTGCAACTGTTTTGCCAGGGGAAAAGCTGCCCTGAGTTACTACCAGCATTTAACAGCAACCATTTACACAGGAAAGAGTAGAGGTACAGTATGGGAAAGAAAGAGGAAGTGGCTAAAAAACAAAACAAAACAATGTACAGCAGATTTTTTCACCTCAGATCTTCTTATTTCTCTCTTTTTTAAAGATTATTTATTTATACATACAAGAGCTGGGGTACAGGCCAAAGGTGTAGAGGGTGAGAGGATTCACCAGAGACAGAGTGGAGAACAGAAGAGGCAGATTGACTGAAATACACTGCTAAGGGGAGCAGCAGGCGAGACAGGAGAGGTCTTCTGTGCCATACGGGTAGCTCCCTGGCTGGGGATTGAACTCGTGCTTACAGAGGCTGCAGACAGCTTCATAGGTAGCATCTTAACCCCTTGCTCCACCAGGGAGGCCCCAGATCTTCTTATCTCTGAGCACCAACACCTGAACTCAGTTGCCAAAGCTGCCCTAGGATCTTCTGGAGTCTACCGGCTCCAGAGGAGACTGCCTGATGGATGGTGGGGCAGAGGCCTGGGGCAGCAAGGCTGTGTGTGGCAGGCATGTGCGGCAGAGGGAAGCATGCAGGAACGCTGGCTATTCTTGCTTCTCTTGGCCAATAAAAGGAAACAGAGTCTGAGGAGAAGCAAAGTAGGTTAATTTGTTGATATAATGAGGATGTTACAGGGCAAACTGAAGGGTATCCCAGGAACCCTGTATTTACATGCTCTAAATAGGTTCTGCCACCTGCCACATAAAGGCTAACGTATGCCATTGCCTAGGACCTTCAATCGAAAAGAACTTTAATACAATTACTGTGAGACAGATAATTAGTGTGGGACAGAGAAAGAATGGAGCACAAATTGTTTCCATTGAAGCGTCCAAAGTTACCCATTCCCCTGTGGGTAAATGCCCAGCCAAACAGTGTTGCCTCAAAGCAAGGATCACTAAGGCCAGAGAGTCTGCCACAAGTCTAAGCAACTTCTGGTGGGGACCCATAGGAAAGAAGCAGAAGGTGCCAGGCAAGTCTGGAAGGAAAGAAATGAAATCAAAGTATGTGTCAAGATAAAGGCTGTTTGTTGGGTTTCCCTGGTGATGCAGAGGTTAAAGTCTCAGAGCTACCAAGCTATCAACAGCCACTGCAGTATGAGTTTCATCCCCAGCCCACCAGGTAGCTACCCACAAGGCAAAGCAGACCTCTCCTGTCTCACCTGCTGCTCCCCTCAGCAGTGTATTCCAGTCATTCTGCCTGTTCTGCTCTCCACTCTGTCTCTGGTAAATCCTCTCACACCCCACCCCCCACACCTCTGGTCTACACCCCCGTTCTTGTATGTACAAATAAATAAATCTTAAAAAAAAAAAAAAAAGATAAAGACTGTTATTGTTAGCCTCCTCAGAGGTCTCTGGCCCACATCTGGTCCAGGTGTCTCCTTCCATGTCCCCCAAGTCCCTGGTTCAAGTCCAAGGTCAAGACATAAGCACAGCTTCTTCACATGGCTCTGCTCCATGTGCCTGCTCCAGCTCTTCCTTCTTCTCCCTTTCCTTCCTTTCCAGTGCCTTTTCCCAGTCTTTTCTAGCTTCTTCTTGCAGCCCAGTGCCACCCTTCCTTCGGTGGGGCAGGGAACCTAGAATCTCCCCCTTTCTCTGCATATCACACTGTTACCAGGAGGGCAGCAGACTGGTGTCTGAAAGATGCCATCCTGCTCTTTGACAGAGGACAGGGATATTCATCTCAAGTTATATGTAGAAGTGGAAGACTTGGGACACAAGTGTCTGGGGATTCCATCTGACACCAGCTTGCTTTTGCCATCACCTGGTGTTCAGCTATCTTGATGCTATCTCTGTAGCATAGCTCTTTTTCCTTGCAATGTTAAAAAATAGGGTTTATGAAGCCTAGAGGGAAATGAAAGGATATGGGGAAGCGTATCTGGTGGGGCAGACATAGACTTTGCTGCTGCATCAGAGAGGCCCAAGGAGAGCACAGACAGACTGGGCCATGACTGGAAGGCTGGCCCTACATTTCACCTTGCCCATGGTGGTCCAAGACACAGCTGGGGGGACCATTTGACTAGCGGATGAGTGGAGGTACCGCCTCCCAAACCCCTGTGGCCTGTCACCCTCTCCCCAGGGTCACACTGTCTGCAATACCTCTTCATGGGCACCTCAGAGAGGGACCTGGGGCTGTCCCTGTTTGAGGCCTTGGGCTACGTGGATGACCAGTTGTTCGTGGCTTATAATCACGAGACTCGCCGTGCTGAGCCTCGCGCCCAGTGGGTCTTGGGTGCGGCCACCAGCCGCCTGTGGCTGCAGCTGAGTCAGAGCCTGAAAGGGTGGGACCACATGTTCAGCGTTGACTTCTGGACCATCATGGACAACCACAACTACAGCAAAGGTATGTGGCAGGGGGGGCGGGGGGGGGGGGGGGGGCTTCCATCCTGAGGTGGACCCAGCCCTTCCATTCCTGAGGAGGGAGGGAGATGGGAGTTTGAAGGTCCTGAAGGGAGTGAGCAGGGACAGGGGAAGGAGTTTGCTTCCTGAGGTCATTCAGTTCAGTCCCTGGAGAAGTTGGAGACCAGGATCTACTCTTTTGGTTTCAGTAACGAAGCCAGGGGTATTGCCAGAGTCCCACACGCTGCAGGTGATCCTGGGCTGTGAAGTGCAAGAGGACAACAGCACCAGGGGCTTCTGGAAGTATGGGTATGATGGACTGGACCATCTTGAATTCTGCGCTGAGACACAGGACTGGAAAGCAGTGGGGCCCGGGGCCCAGGTCACCAAGCTGGAATGGGAAAATACTAAGATTCGGGCCAAGCAGAACAGGGCCTACCTCGAGCGAGACTGCCCGGAGCAGCTGCGGCGCTTACTGGAGCTGGGGAGAGGGGTTCTGGACCAGCCAGGTATGACGGGAGCCCCCCCCAGAGTGGAGGAGATCCCTGGCCAGGGGTTCAGAGCCTGAGGTTATGTGACTATGAGAATGAACTGAGGTCTATGGTTTCCTCCCTGAGGTCTCATCTCATAATTGAAATGAAACACACAGCAGCCATTATTCACAGCTTTCATAGTTTTCTCTGTGCCTGAGGCCAAAGAGGTATCTGTGATCTATTCTTTGTTTAACCAAATGTCCTGTGTACATTTGTACCTTTTAGGAATTCATGATTTTCACAGGAATGCCCAGGTGAGGAATTACCAGTGAGGTAACTGATGAGAGTAGCAGAATCCTTTGGAGGTAAACGTTACTTTCCTAGAACATTGAGCCACCTAGCTCTCTGTCAAGGCCCCTTTTTACAAGAACTCTTACTGGATTGAACCAGGGGAAACTGCTGACAGTAGTTATTTGGTCATTTCCTATACTAGTACATAGCGATTCATTCTGATTGCACTTAATATATTAATGCGAAACAGGAGATGCAGGCAACAGACACAGCTATTTCCACAGGGGACAGAAAACAGGCTGATGTGACTGTTGCATGTGGGACCACCTCAGAGCTGCATTTGGGAATATAGTGGAGAACACACATTCCCTTGTAGCTGCCTTTGTCTAACCGGTGGGCTCCTCTCCCTCCTGCCCACTGGTAGGAGGGAATTGAAAGTTCTGGTCTTCCTGGCAAGGGGCGAAAGATCCCTTCTCCAGATGCTTCCTTCTTCTCGTGCAGTACCACCTCTGGTGAGAGTGACTCGCCACGAAGCCGCTACAGGAACCACGCTGCGGTGTCAGGCTCTGAACTTCTACCCCCAGAACATCACCATGGTGTGGTGGAAGGACAGGCAGCCGCTGGCCACTGAGGACGGCACCCCTAAGAACGTGCTGCCCTGTGGAGATGGGACGTTCCGGGCCTGGATGGCTTTGACCGTGCCCTTTGGGGAAGAGCAGAGATACTCCTGCAGGGTGGAACACCCAGGCCTGGATCAGCCCCTCACTGCCCGCTGGGGTAAGGCTGAGAGCCAGGGACTGAGCAAATATGCTGTGGGGGATGGAGGTGAGCCTTGCAATGAGGGGTGCCCGCTGTGCTGGGCCAGCAGTGATCAGAGGCTTAACTTGCTTTTGTTGTTTTAGAGTCCTCGCTGCCTGACACCCTGGTCATTGGCATCATCAGTGGGATCGCTGTTTGTGTCATCATCTTTATTGGGATTCTGCTCAGAATCTTAAGGAAAAGGCAGGCTTCCAGTGAGTAGGCAAAAGGAACTCTCTTGCCTCTGACCCTCCCTTCCCCCCACCCCCAATAATTCTCTTGCAGGAAGTGGGACGGAGGGAGGGCAGAGGGGATTTGGAGTCCAGGAGAAACCTTGTCGCCTCTTTTTTCTTTGGGGGCACCAACACCTCCCTGGAAGCAGGAGTTAGCTGCTTTCCTCAGAATGAAAGCTCCAAATTCAATGAATACCTTTGAGCGCCTATTATCTTGCAAGGTGTTGCAGGTCTACTACTACTAGTCTCCAAACCCAGAGCTAGTAGGGATTGAGATCCCTAACACAAGGGAATGTGGTTATAGATGACCCTGTGGTAGATACACTTTTGGGGGAGAGGGGTTAAATAAAAGGGAATGTCCACTTTCAGCTGGGGATCTGGAAAGGCTTCCAGAACTAAAGGAAGGAGGATTTCTTAGGTGAGCTTGAACATGAGGACAGAGCTACACAGGTGCTGTTGGGAGGCAGAGGGAGGTGAGGCCATATTCTCCAGCCTCTTCCTTAACTGTGCATAATTATCGGTGACCAATTCTACCTCTGCAAGTATGTGGTGTGAGAAAAGACAGGCCAACCGAAGCCAGCTCCTGCAGCACCCTGGTCACCTTTGGCACCTCATGTTTATTTACACTGGAGTCAGTGCAAGGGATATAAGCAGGGAGGGACATAATCTCGGTCTGGAGAATACACCATCCATAAGAAGGTGGGATGGGAAACAAGGAGACCAGTTAGAAAGATACTAAGTGATCCCAGATGTGGGATAATGGTACTTGAAATCCAGAGTTCTTTGGGAAGGGAGTGCTCAGAGTAGAGACGAGCAGGTGAAGGAGTAAGGGATAGGGAGGAAGACACCACCCAGGTCTGAGATGCTTCTTTCTCTTCTCTTGTCTTTACAGGAGGAGCCAGGGGGGACTATGTTTTATCAGAATATGAATGAAGTGACACCTGCAGGCCCCTGGTGGGAAAGAGAAACAGAGACTCAGAGAGAAGGGTGCACTGTGGCCTTCCTCAGGTTTCAAGACAGAGCTGGACCTAACAAATAGAAACCGCCTGTGGAACTCTGTTCTTAGCCTTCCTCTTCACCCACAAAAAGTTACCCCCATGTAGGTTTTTGAGTTCCTACATATTAAGGATTCCTAGCTGTGACCTCTCCCCAGGAACTCACTAGATCTCAGGAATCTCAAGCTGCATCTGGAGCCTGTCTTCATTGCCTGCATCACCTCAGACTCCATATGCCTACATCTCATCTCCTTCCTCTGGAGTAGGGCTTCTTAAATTTGGGGGGCCCTCATGATTCCTTGCAACAGCTGAAAATGCTGTGAACCTACTCATCAGGACATACACTCTCATACCCCTACCAGAACTTTGCACACCCATCCAGGCATTTCTTAAACACTCAAGTTTTCTTTGAATCCTTCCCCCTTCCCCTTTATACAGTAGTTCATTGACAAGCCCTTTGGTCTCTTCTAACAGAGATGTATCTGGGTCACTGTACAGCTGTGAAAGTTGTGCATTGTACAACCCAAGGAAGCTCCTTTTACAGAAGCATACTGTATGTTTGTGTTAGTGATTTATATAGGTTTATCCCAAGGTTGTCTTCTCTCAAGTTTTGTTGTCTTTGTTTAGTCCTCCTGGACTATCTGACTTCATCTCTGGAGTGTGTTTTGGTTAGCACTTCACAGAATTTACTAAGAAGCCTCTTTAACTCTCTTGAAGTCCCTGTCTGTACTGTCCCTGAAGCTGCCTAATGAACCCTAACTTGACCTGGGACTCATTAGGATAGTTTTTCAGAAAGTCAGTGGGATGTGTCTTGAATAATATTTTTTTTTCTAATTTGGAGAAAGGTGTCATAGATATTTCTTCAGTTTAGTGATGCCTTTGTATTTATCAATATAATGCCTCTCTGGTGTCAGACTAGAAGCACCGACCATAGTAATTTTCTACTTGATCTCTGCGGACCCTCTCTCCTTGTCTTGTTAAAGAAAATTATAATAAGGATGATGATGATATTAGTAATAACGTTGCTGATACTTATCCAAAAACACTTATCTGGTGCCAAACTCAGGTCTGAGCACCTGCTTATAGGCATTATCTCATGTAATTCTTGCAACAATTCTTTGATGTATCAATAGGTATTAGTATCAATATTAGTATTATTATTTTAGATGAAGGAAGTACAGAGTCTGCCACAGTTTGCCAGGGATAGAGACAGGTTTCAAACTCAGTCTGGCACTATGATCCAGCTCACAGAGCCCTGCATTCAGATGGTTTAGCTACCTGGAATAAACGGAGAAAGGAGGAGATAGCTCTTCTCTTGTTTTCTCCTAATTTTTCAGGAACTTGACCCAAATGCAGAAAAAACAGCAGAAAACAGTCTCAGCCATGTTTCCTTCCAAAGTCCCTAGAATGTGTCTCCCTAGCATCTCCTGGCATCTCTTTTAGGCACCCCCAGCACTGCGATTGGTGGTGTCAACTAATGGCTGTGTTGGGCCTCCCAGTGTCCTCCCTCCACCACAACCTCTGGAGTCAGGACCCTGGTGCCTTTATCCTCCAAGAACTGGAGCAATTTCATAATAAAGATGGTTAACCGGAAGCTACCAGGTGGACTGGCAAATTCCTGGGGTCCCTGTGACTGCTTCTCATCCCCTACTGGCACATTCAAATGAATCTAACTAGATCACTCAGGAATTGTTACAGGGCGGGCTGAGGGGCACCTCAGGACCCTCAAACTACATTCTCTAAATGGAGTCTACCAGCCACCATGTCAAGATAAAACATAGTCTAGTGTGTAAGACCTTCAATACAATTAATGTGCAATAAAGAGAAGAGAAAGAATATATATTGCTAGTTTAAAAGTTGTTTTTTTTTTTTTTTTCCATGAAGCACCCAAAGTTATGGGTAAATGCCCAGCCAAACAGGATTGGCTCAAAGCAGGACCACTAAGGCCTTGAAAGCTTGCTACCTTCTGGTGGGGACCAATAGGAAAGGGACAGAAGGGACCAGACAAATCTGGAAGGAAAAGAGCAAAATAAAATCCAAGTCAAGATAAAAGCTGCCAATGTCAGCCTCCCCACGGGTCTCTCACCTACATCTCTGCCTCTTTTCAAGTTCCTCCTTCCATGTCCCCCATAGTCCCTTCTACAAATCCAAGGCTGAGAAGCAAGTGCAGCTCCTTCACATGTCTCTCTGCTCCAAGTGCCTCTTCCAGGTCTCCTTCTTGCTCTCCTTTGGCCTCCCTGTCTGCTCTAGCTCCCCATCCCTGCTTAGCTCCTCCCTTCCATAAGATGGGGCAGGGAACCTGGAACCTCCCCTTTCCTTGGGGATGACCCCATTACAGGACTGGATTCAGGGAAAGTCGTTCATCTGACCATATTTAAAAGAGTACTAATATCACACCCTGATGGCTGGTGTTTCTGCTGCTACATTTATTTGATCACATAACTGAGAACAAGGCATTCTTCTGTCTTGGAGGAGGAGTTCCTCTAGAGATGAAATACTACTCAAAAGTTTATTTTGTATGTCTGGTTTGGGGGCATGTGGATCTCAACTATTTTATTTTAACCTTTTTTTCTGACTTCTTTACAGTAGTCAAATGGCTAAAAGTACATGTAACATGTGCTTGTACAAATGCTGAATCAAAGCTATTATTCCATTAGCCAGTGATGTTAATTGGTATATTTCCCCTTGATATTGCTACCATAGACATAGAAAATTAACAAATACATATATTTTAATTAATGTATATTTGTATTGCATGATTTTTCTGACGTACTCGTGCATCCTATGTGTATACTTGATCATGCCATTTGGAGGTACATACTGCCAATCTGTTTATATTTTGATTTTAAGGAAAATTTTATTAAACTCCTGTAGCTGAATTAATTGCTTTTCTTAACTGTAGGGATATTATTATCTATGTTGTAAACCATTGGTCATTGTACTTCCCAACCAAGCTGAAAGTACACTGACCAATTTTTTCTCTTTCAATATTATCTGATACTCAAAGCAGACTGGCAAGGAGCTTCTCTTGCTCTTCTACCTTATTAAGGATATGCTACAATTCATTAGGCAGAGGTTGGTTTTACATTGGTTTTATTTCACTCAGGCTGATATCTCAAGAAACACCTTTTAAGATAGCAGTTACTGTCAGCAGGTGTAAACTTTTGAGTCTTTTTTATAACACTTTTTTATAACACAGTTATAAGTGTTTATTTTCTTTAATTATTTCTTATTTTTTCTGGCTTTCATGAATTCTTAAGATCAGCCTCATTTGAAAAATTGAAAACTTACACTTTGTATCTTTCAAAGTTTGTATCTTTCATCCCTGGCAAGACACCCTAGAACAAAGCGCGGTAGCACAGAGTGGCGACACCTTGTGGCCATAGTCAAATATGTGATGGGGTCTTGTGACAAGTGAGCGGGGATGGGAGCTTTTTCTGAGCTGAAAGCCATTGACAAGGGTGGGGACTTGGCGACCACTTGTGGAGAAATGCTCTTAAAATTTTGAGGAAACCAAGAAGAAATTCATCACCAGTTATTTGAATCTCTGGAATAAGAGGGCACTGTTGAGCTGCCTGAACAAGGAATAGAAGGGAAGGAAAACAATTTACCAGGTAATCCGTGAGGCTAGAGGAAGCAGTTAGTCAAAGTCTGCTGGGACTTCCTAATACATTCTTGTTATAATAATTTAGTCTTAGAGTACTGTGTATTCTTGCACATTACAAAATATTCTTCATGCACACACACACATCACTTAGAAACATAAGGTGTCTAAATATGCTAAAAGATTCTTGTAAATTACCTTTTCTTCCTCTAACCATTCTTTTTTTTTTTAATATTAGAACTCAAAAATGCATGACTTTACACATTAAGCTTTTCACCTATGTGGACAGAAGTTTGTATTTTTTATTTTCTTTTTGTAGACCTTGGGCCATTTTTTCTTCTCCCATTTTGAATCAGTGATTAACATGTAAACAGTTACTACAATATTAAATGAATTTGTGACAATTTTATAGAAAGCCTGTATTGTCTTGACTGCCTGTGCATTTATTAATTTACCCGGCATGCATGCTGCTATTTCACATATTGTTTCTGAGTAATTGTTTACAGTATTTACTCCTTTATCACTTGATTAGATGAATTTGCATTCTCAGTCAAATCTCTTCCATTAAATGAATATTTTCTAAAACTAAAATTTCTCAGCTAATAATTACTGAGTTCTTACTAGATGCCAGGCTATGATTTGAAAATTAATTTAATTCCTTTAAAGAATCCTTTGAGGGAAGGTCTATTGTTATTCTATTACTCTTATCTTATTTTTCTATATGAAGGCACAGAAAGGCTAATTAACTTGCTGAAGTTTGCACAGCTAGGAAATGGTTGTGGTAGATTTTTATTCTAACTTGTCTGACTCTATAATCTCTCTCACTTAGTCAAAAAATATGGGGTGTGACATTGTTAACACCTTTTATGGATACTCCTTTAGGTATCCATTCTGCTGCCTCTCTGATAAGTTTGTGGAGGTTGGTTCTGGATATTTCATATTTTTGTAACAAGTCTGATCATGGTTTGATTTGTTTGAATGTTTCAGGTGTCCAATTAGCCCCAACCTGTTTGCAGGGTTTTTATCTCAATGACCTAATCACATATTGAATGAACAGAGTCCTGTGAGACCAGATTCACTTATGAGAGTGAGTCAGAAGATGAAATGGGAGAATGGGAAGCCAGAGAGGTTGTAGAATGAAGCCTTCTCCCAGACCACATGACTAGGTAATACCTGTGCTCTTCCCAGGGTAGAAGGACCCATTATTACTGTCTATATGTTTGTACCTTTAACATATTTTTGTTCTCATATTCATGATTTTTGAGTCAGTGACACTGAGAAAAATTTGGAAGTGGGGAAATTAGAAGGGAGTCAAGAATTGTCAAAATAGAAGTAAAGTTTTATTAATGACCTAGTAAGACATGTAAAATTGAAGAGTAGCTGACCTAAACCTCTGGACTTAATGAAGAGGGTACCTGAGATGTTTTTCAGGGTGAATCACACCGTTTGTTTTTGTCTGCAATGACTATATTGTATACATTCTATTTTCATGAATTAAACGGCCTGGGGAGATTTTAGTTTTACCTTTGAATTCAGACTGTCACGAACATATGTTATAAAAATCTTAAATAGCATAGTCTGCCAAAAGACCTTGACAACATTGAAAACTTCTGCACAAACGATCCAGTTGAACCCCTGCACAGACGATGCTCAAATACAGCTAATAGGTAAGCAGGTGCTGTCCCTACTTGAAGAGTATGTAAACCCAGGGGAATCTCACACTTAGAAAGCTTTGGCTTGGACACTGAACGTGCAGAAGCTCCCTCTGGACGCCAGCTCTCCAACCTGTCCTCTGTTTGAACACTGACTTCACCTGCGTGACCATCCTTGGCTATGAATTTCCATGGCTTCCTTCACAGGTGATACCTGGGCTGGGACTGTGAGTGCTAAGAGATGTTGTGCTGTGGAAGCACCATGGTCAAGTTCTAATGTTTGCTCTTTAATATGTGAGTTTGAATTCAGAATGTCTATGAACTAGCGTAATAAAAATCCTTTGGAGACCAAACTCGACTAAGGCTGACTCTGTGCTTGTGACACAGGCCTTTCTCTTTTCTCTGAAGTGCTTGACATTTCTTTCTAGCTAAGTTTCTTAGAGTTTATGTGTCTGTGGTGGGAAGGGGGTATGAGTCAGGAACGAAAGAGCTCCCAATTAGGGCCAGAAGATAACCACTTAATTATTTCAGAGGTGTCCCAAACCCTTTGCCTTTCAGAGCCTCACAGCTCTTTCTTGGGTCTTTTCTTTTCCTTCCTGGTTCTTTCCACTTTTCAACTGAGTAACAAGCCCTCCAGAGTTTTGATGGCTAAAAGTGCAGCAATGATGGAGGAAAGGATAGAAAACTTAAAGGAGGCCTCACAAGACTAGAACCTAACTCACACAAGGAGGTGGGGGTAGAAGGGATAATCGTAAACCATTAATCCAGTTATAGAAACCAAGACTCTTAGGCATCAATGCCCAGATCAGGAGGTACCACACCCAGAAACTATCAGACTGCTATAGGGAGTGTCAGGACCACAGACCTGAAGGTGAAGATATGGAGATTAATGACCACAAACCATTCACCACAGATATGAGTCCTTCCCGACCAAAATAAGATGATAAAATCTAATGCTGCCCCCACAATGGGGCAGCAGTCCTTCTGCCCACCTGTGACTATGCAGGTGCTTCCTTTCACCAACTCTCCCTCTGCCAGGCAGCAGCCTTCCTGCCATCCCGTGACCTGTAGCATGTCGGGACTTCTCTTCACTGACCTCCCTCAGCAGAAGCAGCTCTCCTCAAGGCCGCCCGCCTGCAACCATGCAGGCCTCTCTCAGCAAACCTGTCCCGTTGGGGGCAGCTCTTCCTGCCCACTTCTGTCTATGCAAGTGTTCTTTACTCTTCTGTCCCTTTTCTAAAAAAATTGCTCTTTCAAATATAACTAACGTCTGTCTTGTGGAGAAACTTGTATAGGAAACTCACCATGTGCCGCTGAAAGGGGAGCTCTGGCGAAACATTCCCCAGAGTAAACCCAAGGACCCTGCAAGCCAAACCCACTGACTCCAAAAACATCAGTAGTATGAAATTATAGCACGTCTCTCAGGCCATACTTGTATTCTACATATACAAATAGACATTTATTTTTGAACCAGAATGGGGGAAGAGTGTGCTTTTTTCTTTTAAGCAGTGTGACTGTTACACAGGAAATTTTCAAAAGCTGTAGCAGGAAGCTAAGGAGAAAGTTTTGATTGAAGAAGTTCCTCTTTGCAAACCAGATTCAGATTCATTCTATTCTAATTTTACTTTTTTAAAAAGGGGGGCAGGGTTAAGCTTGTTTAAAACACCAATAATCTTATCAAAATTCTCCCAGTGTTATAGGGCAGCCCTGATACAAAATGGGGTGCCGGTCTGTTTGTCCGCACCCGTGCTTAAAAGGACTTATCAATACTCTACTGCAGGTACACGTGAAAGGTTAATAAAAGGTTTATTTACAAGGGAAGGGCAAATGAGGAAATGTACAGCTCAGGGAGAAAAATGGGAGACAAAGTTTTAAATGCATCCTACCCAATCTGCCGATCTGGAATCCCAAATGGCACTCTGAGAGCTGGCTGTGAGCCAGGAGCAGTGAAGCCAGAAGGCCAGCGATAGCGAGCAAGACCCCAAGGACCACGTGTTTGGTTTTTTATACCCAACCTGGCTGCTTAACTTCACCCTCAGGTCCCAGCCACCTTCCCTTTGGTAGTGACAGGATTTGTTTTTCCCAATGTCTTGATGACTTTGGTCTGGAGTGGGGGTGGGGTCCACAAAGCCTGTATGGGATTAGCTCAGAACATCCTTTCCCTCTATCACCAGGAAGGCTTTGTAATGACCTTAGTCAAGTATTAGCCCCACCCTATGATTAATCCCCAACTCTACAAAACTAGGTCTTGTCTCTAAAACTGCAGAAGGTTGAGAGGGAATTAATAAAGGAGGACAGAGGAGTCGTTTGGAATTACAGACCCTGAAGACAGTCCAGGGATTATGCTCCCTCTCAGACTTTTGCATGGAAAGAAGTCAACAGATAAGTATTTGAATGATGATAGAGAAGGAAGAAATTTTTGTTTCCAATTCTTCCTCTTTGTGTCCCCCCCCCAACCCCACCCTTTGTTTGGTTCTGGCTGGTCAAAAAATCAAATCAACATTAGATTAACGAGAAAAGCCATATTTAATTGTCTGCATATAGGTTTTCTACAGGGATATGAGAGCCCAGGACAGAAATGAGGTGAGGCATATAGTTTAGGAATGGGATAGAGAAATGGGGCTTCACGGGGGTGAGGAGGAACATTCATGACTGAAAGATGAAGAGCTGTTGGGCAATTAGATATTTGCCCTGCCATATAGATATGTTTTTCATATGGAAAGGTTATTTCTGGTAATAGTAACTAATTTGGGGTAAGACTCCAAGTTCATTCTCAGTAAAGGAGTCATGAACCAGAGGACTTCCATTTATTTCAGCTCTCAACACACATGTCAAAGTGGCATATGTTGGGGAGGCCTATTCTAAACCCCTTGTCAGCATCCTTTGTTTAAGTAAGATTAAAGGGATTGTGAGAGAGTTCTTTGACCTCTAAACCCACCTTCCTCTACATAATGTTTCTCTACTGCCCTAGGAACCATTACCGAACTTACTAGCTACCAAGTGGCAACAAAAAGCAACATGGAGTGGAGCTCTTAACTCAGCTCCTTTGAGCTGATTATCAGTACATTCGACTCGCGATTGTATGGGGAAAAAATTAAAAGGCGAAAACAAGCTTTTCAGCGCAAAGAAACCTATACCTACCTTTCTAGCACGCCCAATGAAGAGAGAGTTTCGTTGGCCAATCAAAACACTGAAGCGTTTCTGGTTATTCACTTGGCTCCACCCCCTTGACAACAATTTGGAAAAAAAAAAATCCCCGCCTGCGCTTGTGGTTCTCAATCAGGTCCGCAGAAGTGCTATTTAAAGGGCTGAGGCGCTTCTTGCGAGTTACTGAGAAGACAATCATGTCTGGTCGTGGTAAAGGTGGGAAGGGTCTCGGCAAGGGAGGCGCCAAGCGCCACCGCAAGGTGCTGCGCGACAACATCCAGGGCATCACCAAGCCCGCCATCCGCCGCCTGGCCCGGCGCGGCGGCGTCAAGCGCATTTCGGGGCTCATCTACGAGGAAACCCGGGGGGTGCTCAAGGTCTTCCTGGAGAACGTGATCCGCGACGCCGTCACCTACACCGAGCACGCCAAGCGCAAGACGGTCACGGCCATGGACGTGGTCTACGCGCTCAAGCGCCAGGGCCGCACCCTCTACGGCTTCGGCGGCTGAAGTAACAGCATCCGCCATACTTCAGTGGAAAGAAACAAAAGGCCCTTTTCAGGGCCGCCCACGGTGTCTCTTAAAGGGCTGTTGCACGGCGCATGAATGGTGTTGCTGAGCTAATGGTATAAAACTCGATCTGTGGTTTCTGAGTACAGAAACTTTAATGTTATTTAACATCAACTTTTATAGAAATTTAAGAGTTTCGCAAAGCGAAAGTAGGTTAGAGGACAGCACGCCAGCAATACTGGCAAGCTAGGAAGTGCCTGTGTTTGAATGGAGCGCGTTCTTTAGGTTTAGCTGATTTGCAACAGCCAGGGGGCATGTTTGTGCCAATGAACTCATGGGACTCCAGCACTTACGCATTTAGGGGGCAAAGTTGGCCAAGGTGCCGGAAACTGCAGTTTTTGATTGCAAAGGCTGGAATTCTCAAGGTTTTTTTTTTTTTTTTTTTTTTTTGGACAAAAGCAGTAAGGGGCTCCTTTACGAAATGGGATGAATCCGGTTATCGTAATTTCTTGTGATGAGAGTCTGGGGTCAGACCACTGAGAAAGTCACTGCCTTGCAGGGCATGTGAAACATACACTCCTGCCCTACGGCTACTACAACTTCAAAGGGAGACGTGCACCACCCTGTACAAGCAAAGCAGAGGTTTTGACTACGCAGATTGAACCATTATGTTTAGTTCTTTCTCCCATTGGCCCAATTAGGTAAATTTGTGTGGAAAAGCTAGGTCCTGAATCATGCCTTAGGACATGCGCGGGCATGTGAAAGGAAACAGTTCTGCACTGGGTTTTTTTTGTTCAGACTCCCCAAATACCAAGACCCCAAATGGTTGACAATATGAATTTAAATTTTAGGATGACTTTCAAGAATGATCAATCACTAAGTGAAAACTGAACCAACCTTAAAAAAAAAATGCTTTAACTGACCCTGAGTGTCTCTTAATTTAAGCGATTTTTGTGGCATCACCTCAGCCTCCAACATCTTAAATTCTAGGATTAATATTTGAGGCTGGGAGTGAGATCTGGAAAAGTTTATACACTTTACAAATAAAATACATAGAATTATAACTGGAATCAGCCAATCGTATTTAAATCTTTTTTTTTATTTTTATACAAGAGCTGGGGTACAGGCCGGAGGCGCGGGAGGTTGAGAGGATTCACCAGAGACAGAGCAGGGAGCAGAATAGGCAGGACCGAAATACACTGCTGAGTGGAGCAGCTGGCGAGACAGACGTCTGCTGCGCCATGTGGGAATTTCCCAGGCCACCGGAAATCGAATCTGCGCTGCAGAGCCTGTGGACAGCTTCACAGCGCTGCGTTCAACTCTCTGGGCCACCAGGAAGGCCCAAATATGAATTTTTAAAATGACATCATTTAATTTATCAAGTGACAAATATTTCAATATTCTTGCAGTTGTGAATTCAAAGTATCTAATTTCTATCAGTAATGAACTTTCTAAAACCTCCCCCATTCAAATCCTGAGATACCTTGATTTCTATACACTGGATCCTTTAAGTCTGTGGATATGGAGATCTAAATCTCCAGAATGACACCAATAACACCTACAGCAAATTTGTCTGGCGTAAAGTCAGATGTGTTTGGGCAATAGCCTGATTTGGCCCCTACAAGCAGACGTTCCTAAGGCAGGTACCTACCTATTCCAGCGTAAGTACCACTGCATAAGCCTGCTTCAGAATGGACGGCTTGAATGTCTTACCATCTTCAGCTCTGCAGATATGTACCGTGCGGCTAATGAAACCTATAATTAATCTCATCACAAAGGGCATGCTAACAGGGTGTTAAGTTATCCAGGAAAGATACCAGTGTTACGCCCTTTGAAGTTTAGGTGGCTCCTGGTGGCACAGGCGGTTGAACACAGCGCTGTTAAGCTGCCCGCAGTCTCTGCAGCACCGGTTCGATCCCCGCCGTCCGGCCGCGAAGATGCCCAACATGGCGAGGCAGACCTCTCCTGTTGCGCCCGCTGCTCTCCTCAGCACTGTTTCTATCGTCTGCCTGTTCTGTTCCCTGCTCGGTCTTTAACGAATCCTAACACCCTAACACCTCTGCCCTGTACCCCGGTTCCTGTAAAAATAAACGATAAAGCAGCCTACAGCCTCTACATCACGAGTTAGATCCCGGCCGGCTAGTGATGTTGAACCCACATGGCGCAGCAGACCTCTTTCTCCCGCAACTCCCCTCAGCAGTGTATTTCAGTCTACCTGTTCTGTTCCCCGCTGTCTCTGGTGAATTCTGATACCCCTCTGATGTCTGGCTTGTGCCCCACGTCTTGTATTATAAACAAACCCGTAAAAAAAATAAAACCTGGCAAGTGTTACACCCTTTTAAGATTATTTAGGTGGCTCTTAAAAGAGCCTTTGGGTTATCTGAAAACTGCGTTGCAGTAAAGCTCACTTCTTCGAAGCCGCCTTCCGAGAGTTAGTTTTCTGGCTCAGCTTGGGCTTCCCGGGTTTCGGCTTGCCGGCTCTTGCTTTCGCAGGGCTCTTGTGTTGCTGCTTAACCTTGGCTGCCTTGGCCTTCCTGCCCGCTTTCTTAACCGCTGTTGCACTTGGCTTCTTGGCCCTCTTGTTGGTCTTGGTACCCTTAGCAGACTTGGGCTCCAAGACCACCTTCTTGGCCTTGGCAGAAGCGGGCTTTCTAGCCCTGCCCTTAGGGACCTCAACAGCAGCCTTCTTGCTGAGCTTGAAGGAGCCCGAGGCGCCGGTGCCCTTGGTCTGCACCAGGGTGCCGTTGCTCACCAAGGCCTTGAGGCCCAGCTTGATGCGGCTGTTGTTCTTCTCCACGTCGTAGCCGGCGGCCGCCAGCGCCTTCTTGAGCGCCACCAGAGACATGCCCGCTCGCTCCTGAGAGGCCGAGAGCGCCTCCGTGATCAGCTTTGACAATGAAGGACTTGGAGCCTTGCGCCGTGCGCTCGTCAGGCCGCTCGGCTTCTTCCCTCGCTTTTTTGCTGGAGGCTTCTCCATTGAAGCTAAGCCTGGATCTGCCGGGACTACAGGTGCAGTCTCAGACATATCAGGGTGGACAAGGACGCGGGAGCCTGACAGGCGTGAAAAGCCGCGGGCCTCAGGGCCTTATATAGAGCAGCGCGCGCTGTGATTGGTGCGCTGCGCAGGCACCGCCCCCGCCCCTTGGGGCGGAGCATTTGTGTTTGTTTTACACCAAAAAGTTGAATCCTAAAAAAATCCACTGCACAAAATCGCCCAGGTTCCATACCGAACGATCCGTGAAGACCCAGACTTCAATTGCATTTTCACTTTTTAACGAAAAATGACCCTCCGTGGCAAAAGTATTCAATAATGTCCTTGGTTTTCCGCCAAATTCAAGGATACGAAGAAAACTTCCTCTTTTCCCCATAAATTTAAAAGTAGTTTGAGTAGGAGACTTATCTTATCACTTCAGAATGGCTTTCCAAATGTTTGGCTTCCAGTATGTGGAGAAAATAACTTATTCAGACCCTGATTTTTATTGAAAATTATTTGTGTATGTGAGTGAAGTAACACAGAGTTCAGATGTCTCGGTATGGACCTAGATAATGCTTCTAACATGGTGTGAAAACTTCCGGGAACAACTGATTGTGTTTGCCCAAACACAATCTAGTATCATAATCTACAATGCATGAGTTTTGCTTGTGACTAAAACCACTCGTTAGTCTCTGCTCTTTGACAGAAGACCCTGGAGGATGGAGGAACATGGACCTCACTCGTGGTAACTGCTTGACCAAAATCACTCTCGTGGCTGGCTACCTCAACTGTTTTGCTAATGGTTTCATTAATTCAACCCCCGCCCATCACACCTCTTTTTAGACCTCCACCCCAAATACACAAAGGAATAGATAAGTTCCCTGCCTTCAATTAATTATATAAAATGTGAGGTAGAAACCTTCACCTGAAATGGGAGCCGCAGACCCAGGTCTCTAACAAAAACTGGCCAATGTGTCTTCAGTAACTGGGAAAAGGGTTGTTGGGACATTGCCCAGGATACTTCTGTGCATTTGTCTCAGGCCTTACCTTTGTGAGAGATCTGGATCCAAATTTGCTCATCAGAGGGTAGTTGCTCAGGGGAGCATGGAGTGTGGCCAGAGCTCAGGGTCTCCTCACAAGAAATACCTTGTGATGATCTCAAATCCCATGATTTGGAAGTTATTTTGCAGATTGGGAAGCCACTTGAGATTTTTTAAGGAGAGAATTTGTGCATTATTGTTGATTTGTTGTATTGCTGTGTCTGTCTTAGCTCTGGATTCCACGTCATTGTAGAGAAGTATCTAATGTCAGTGGTTGGTAATCCGTTACAATAGTCTCAGAAGGAAGAAAAGGGCTTCCCTTTGTGTGGAAGTGGGGAAGGGAGTGGGGAAGTGTGAAGTGTGGAGAAGGAATCTACATTTGAAATATTTCTGAAGCAGAAGTAAAATAATGAGAATTTTAAACTTCTGATTGCTGAGTTTAAAAAATTTTCTCTCTGTTTCATGCACACAACTAGGAAAAAAATTCAGAAAATAATGCTATGTTAAATAGCTGCATTCTGATGCATTTTATTCTAATCTATTTCAATTTTTTTGTTTGTTTGTTTGGGTAATGCTGGCTGCAAATCATAAGATTGATTCCACAAGCCACTAACACACTACGACCCTCAGTTTGGAAAAAAAATTTTCTCTTGGATTACAGATGGATTTTACCAAGGGCCCTATCTTTTGATATCTTTTCACTTGCCAGCACTCCTGTCCTACACACTTTTTGGAATTTCCTGATCTAAGATTTAGAACTGCCTTTTAAAACAATTATTCCCTTTTAATATGTTTCTTTTTTAATAACTTTTTAAAGTTATAATATTTGGTTTCCAACCATTTTACAGATGCTATTTCACAATTAATCTTACCTCTTTTTTTCAACTGATTTCTTCACTTTTGAAAATTCATTTTTGATTGGTTGCTTGTTCAACTATAGCATAATTGTTTTGTTTGTTTTGTAGGAGAAGCATGTGAATTCCATGTTTTGTAAAAATTGTCTCTAAAAGTCATTAAGGATTTATTGAATATCAAATGTGGGTATGATACTGTTTTTGCACTGAGGCATGTACAAAACCCATCTTTTTAATTAAAAACAAGTATTACTTGGTCGAAAGCAATTACCATTTTTCTTATTTTGGAAGATAAAATCTAAGCAATTATTAGGTGCTTAAATCAGTGTCCAAAACAATAATCCTCCTAGGATTTCATAATGGAGAAATTATTCAGAGAGGCTGGCAGGGGAGGTGTCTTCTCTGTTGGGTCAGAGGGACCTGAATGACTTGTTCATTCAGTTTCAACTGCTCGACTGTAAGCTGCACATCTTCAAGAATTCTGGAAAACTCAGAGGACAGAGACACTATTTTCAGGGCCACAGCTTAATTAGAAAAGCACTGGAAGTGTCTGAATAAAAGGTGTGTCTGAAAAAAAGGCTATATATGTAGCTGGAAAACCCCTGGAGGAACTTCACGCCATCTCATTTCTGTTCTTCCTGACATTCCTACCTCTTATTCGCTATTTATATGCAAGTAAAAACATACCCAGATTATGCTGTTTCTAAATTTGTGACTAGCATGTGTCATGCTGACTAGATAGACTTATGTCCAAATTCTATGAACAGCTCATTGTTAGGATGACTGAAAATATTTTCTCTAGCTACATGGATGCTATGGAGCCAATCTTTAAAGGAAGGGAGCCATGGCATTAAAACTTGGGGTAAATTTTCTGTTGTCAGAAAAAGTAAAAAGTCTTTTTGTGGAACCAAGCTTAGCCGAGGTTTCGCCATTTTGTATATTCTCCACCTTGCTATGTTAGTCCTTGTCCAGCCGCATTCCGGAGATAGTTTCAGCAGTCACAACCCTCACTCCACTTGGTGACGAAAAAGCAGACCACCCCAGCCACCAATGAGGGCAGTCCTATCCATAAATGGGACAGCATCTCTAACTGTCCAATCAGTTTGAAACTAACCGCGCGCGCCAAAATACCTTTGTAGTAGCCAATGAGTAATTGCCAGCTTCTTGCAAAGTTCGCGTCACTCGCGACCCAATAAGATACCCCTGCTTCCTCTGTTCGGGGCTCTCGACCTCTGCCGTTGCATCGGTGCGTGTCGAGGGCCCGGTCTCGAGCCCGTAATAAACTCCCTTTTGCGTTTGCATCAGCTGTCTTTGGATTCTTGGAGGCTATGCTCACCGAGTCTGCTGATCTTGGGCACAACATTTGGGGGCTCGTCCGGGATCGGCTAGCACAGACCCCAACCACCAAACAGCTGAAGGGAGCCATTAATGCGCGCAGGTAAGTGGTGAGGTTTTAGTCTGCAGACCTGTAGTATTGAGTACCTGTATTTGTATCATTTGTGCTCTTTACCTGTAGAAGTACTAAGTACCTGTATTTGTATTTTTTGTGCTCAGTACCTGTGGAATTGTTTGCAAACCTGTAATTTTGGTAGCCAGACGCTTAAGTGGACGCGCTGGTAGGCGTCTTGACGTGGACCAGGGGAGACGTCCCCGGACCACCTGAATGACTATCCCCTGTGGGGCAGCACTGGGGTAGCATTTGTATGGGGCCCATTTGAAAAATTTGTTTTTTGGTTCGTTTAGTGTGTTTGTTCTTAAAACTTTGGTGTTTGTCTCTACCCAGGAACCTCTAATTGGTTATCCGTACCCCTTGTGGGGCAGCACTGGGGCAGGTCCCCCTTTTGGAAAAAGTTCAAAAAAAAAAAAAAAAAAAACTAATTTTGTTTTATTCCTGGTGTTTGTTGTCTTTGTTGCGTTTGTGTGTTCGTAACCATGGGTCAGGCAATGCCTACTCCACTGTCTTTGGACACAGTCAAGGCAAAAAGTAAAATACTGGGGACTAAAAAGTCACAACAGCTGGCTGGTAAGAAACGCTGCCTCTGATCTCAACAAGCAGCTGCCTGGACATTTTCTCCAGTGTTGAGATCACTGGTATATCTCTGCTGCCTTCCAGCTGTGGGAAAATTAGTCTGTCCCTTTGTCCACCTTAAAAAAAAAAAAAAAAAACAAAAAAAAAACTAAAGTTTACTAAATTGTAGTTTCTCAGTGTTTTTACAAATATTGGTAAAAATAACTGTTTCTTAAAATTAGTACATGTGGCAAAAAAAATTTCAAATAAAAATTAAGAAATCTCTTTATTCTTGCTTTTTGCCTCCGGAAAATTAATTATAAATGGCGCCTAAAAAAAAAAAAAAATCCTAAATTTTAAAATTGCGATCTAAAATTGTAGTAAACAAAAACTAATTCAAAATTTAATGGTTTAAAGCATACATGCCTTAAGATTTAAGTGTTAAAAAAAAATTGGTGCTTTGCTTTGTTTAAATATGTTTACTTGTGCTGTCCGAAAAAAATAATAATTAACCTGGCCTATGCTAACAAACAAACTTACTTCTAGGCTTTTATCTAAACTTCTCTTGATAAGATCTTGTTCCAGGAAGACTGATCTACTTGTCTTTTCCCCTTGGAAAAAAAACAATATATTCTCCCAGTAAAGGACTAGACTTCTTTACAAAATTCAAGGTAACATCTAAAGCCATATGGACAAGTTACTAAAAAAAATGTATATAGTATTAGGTGTCTATTTTTTTTCCTTTTCTTTCTTGCTTTTGTCAATCTATCTGTAACAGGGTGGTCCCCAGGAAAGGGGGAAATTCCAGGTTCCCTGCCCCACCCAAAAAAGGGAGGAAAAAAGCAAAATTAAAAAAAAAAATCCAGAAGGAGACCTGGAGGAGGCCCATGGAGCCTAGAGACACATAAAAAAAACTGCGCTTGCCTTTTGGTTGTGGACTAGGTAACACAGATGTGGGTGAGACCCGTGGGGAGGAGACAATGGCAACTTTTATCTTAATTTTAATTTTGCTCTTTTCCTTCCGAACTTGTCTGGTTGTTTCTAACCCTTTCCTGTGGGTCCTCACTGGAAGAGGCCTTAAACTTGTGGCAGGCTTTGGGGCCTGGCTTGGGCCAATCCCATTTGGACGGAGTTTTACCCACGAGGGGACAGAGTTTTACCCACTTTGGGTG